AGAAGACAGTTGATTCAGTAGAGATATCAGCTGTCAGGCAGACACTGCGGAATCACAGCGTTGACGAGGCATATATAAACATCCTGGAAGAAATGTAGAGCGGGTCAACTGCCACCATAGTTCTCCATAAAGAAACCGACAGAATATAAATCAAAAGGGGTGTAATACGAGGGGATACGATTTCTCTATTGCTATTTGCCGCGTGCTTACAGAAGGTATTCAGAGGCGCAGAATGGGAAAAGTTAGGAATACGAGTTAATAGAGAGTACCTTAGTAACCTGCGCTTCGTCGATGACATTGAATTGCTGCGTAACTCAGGGGACGAATTGTAACTCATTATTACTGAATTGTACAAGAAGAGCAGAAAGGTGGGTATTAAAATTAATCTGCAGGAAAGGAAAGTAATTTACAATAACCTTGGAAAAGAACAGCGCTTCGAGATAGGTAATAGTGCACTTGAAGTTGTAAAAGACTTCGTCTGCTTAGGACAGGTAATAACCATGGAGCCGAACCACGAGACTGAAATAACCAGTAGAATAAGAATAGGGTAGAACACATTCGGCAAGAACTCTCAAATCATGACTGGTAGATTGCGCGTATCCCTCAAGAGGAAGGTATATATAATGCAGCTGGTAGTTACCTATGCAGCCGAAACCTGGAGGATTACAAAGAGGGTTCAACTCAAGCTGAGGACGATGCAGCGCGAAATGGAATGAAAAATGATAGGTATAACCCTACGCAACAAGAAGAGAGTCCAGTATAACAAGGAACAAACGGGTGTTAAGCCTATCATAGCTGAAATCAAGAAAAAAAATGGCCATAACCTGAGATCGTAGCGCAAAGGCAAGATAACTGCTGGTAATGAAAAATCACAGAGTGGATTCCAAGAGAAGGCAAGCGGGTGAGGGAGAGTCAGAAAGTTAGGTGGCCAGATGAGATTGAAAAGTTTCCTTGTTTAAAGCGGCAGCAGCAAGCACAGGACTGAGTTGACTGGCGGAACCCGAGAGAGGCCTTCGTTCTGCAGTGGGCGTAGTCAGGCTGACGATGATGATGGTCTGTCCCACATGCGTGTTCAAGGTTCCTCCTCAGCGGAGGACGAAGATTCCTCGCAGCGTACATATTTACAGCTACGTCCTTCAGGGTAAAGCGAAAAATTCCAGTACTTTTTCGTTATAACACTTAGAGCTAGAGCTTTTCTTAAATATCAGCTCCATTCCCCATCGTGTGTACCTGTTAAAGATGACTTCTCACGATTCACCTCTAGAAACAATCTTGTTACCCAATGAACCACAACTATTGTGTAGACATCCATGGTATGTTTCTCATGGACATTGTAAATGTCCCTTAGAAATCCATAGAAATCCAAAATACGAAGATTAGATGTACCCGCAACTATGAAAATCTCGGCCGAGTAAGGTTGCAGGTACGTTGCACTTGGACACTGATTGGACATTCAATAGATATACGAGGACATTCTTTTTTAGTAAATAAAATGTTTTTCCATGCACTTGGCACACTCACCGCATGTAGTTTGTGTGTTGCACCTGCGGTTACATGGCAGTCTTGCTCAATGCCGCTCAGCTGCAGTACTTTATAGAAAGCATCTAAGGTGTGAGGCTGCCCGTATTCATTAATATAGGGGGTTTAACATCCGAAAACCACTATATGATTATGAGAGACGCCATAGTAGAGGGCTCCCGAAATTTCGACCTCACGGGGTTCTTTAACGTGCACCCAAATCTAAGCACACAGGCCTACGGCATTTTCACCTCCATCGAAAGTGCAGCCGGCATTCGAACCCGTGACTTGCGGGTCAGCAGCCGAGTACCTTAGGGCCGTTCCACGCGCTTCCCGCACAGCCGCAGCGCACGTGCCGGGACCCCTACCGCACACAAACGGGGGACAAATAAGCCAATTGGCGACGCTCTTTCACCCTTCGCTGCGTCGCTAATTGGCTTGTTTCCCGCTTGCGTGCGGTAGAGGTCCCGGCACGTGCGTTGCGGCTGTGCGGAAAGCGCGTGGAACAGCCCTTACACGCGCTACCCACACAGCCACAACGCACGTGCCGAGACCCTTGCCGCACGCAAGCGACGGACAAATAAGGCAATTGGCGACGCTCTTCCACCCTACGCAGCGTCGCCAATTGGCTTATTTGTCCCCCACTTCCGTGCGGTAGGGGTCTCGGCTCGTGCGTTGCGGCAGTGCGGGAAGTGCGTGGAATGGCCCTTAGACACGAGACTACCGCGGCGGAGTGAGACTTGCCCGATTCCTGTCAGACAACAAACTTTATTTGGGTCAGCCCCATGGTGTTGATGCTTTGTATAAGTATAGCAGTCCAGATAAGAGCCAGACTCCAGTGGGAGCGCAGGTCTCTAGCACACGCAGCAAGCCTGAAGAAAGTGTGAAGCTGCGAAGTCTCCTTTGTTTCTCTTGTGCATCTCTTCCTCCTCTCTTTCCTTTTTGTTTTGTAGTTTTTCTTTCTTTATTTCTCCTTTATTTTTTAATATATTTCCCTTGACCTTTATATTTTTTTCTATTTTTATTTTTTCCTATTTCTTCTTTTTACATCTCTTTTTATTTCTCACGTGCATCATCTCTTTTATTTTTTTGTGGTTTTGCCTGCGTTACGCCAAGCGACGACAGCCCAGGCCCTGAAAGTGCTTCACACTCGAAAGCACCTTCGTGCTGCATGATTTCGCGCTATCATGTACGGCAGCACTAACGCCACGCATCTCAATTTTATGGTCGTTCGCGCGCTTTATCTCGTCGTGCATGTAAGTGTATGCATTACGCACGCTCCAACGTTACATGTCCATTTATGTTCGAGCACTTTCTAGATTTTACGTGGCAGTATATATTTGCCATGATAAACATCAACTAAACCAGTTTTGAAAAACAGAAGATTCTGCAATGCATTGGATCTTGTGAGCACGTATATGTGCCATCATTTGCGACGTCTATAGTTTTTATCTAAAAGAGAAGTGCATGGGACGTTATTAATACGTAGGCTCTTTAGACTGTAAGGATGGCACCATATGGGGAAGTCGATTAGATGTTATTGATAGACGTAGACGTGCGGATTTTATTTCTACGTTGACATGATATCAGTGGTTCACTGGGTAAGTGTGTTTGTGCTTTCGGAGATATTTTAAAAATAATAACAGGGATAGTCGAGAAATCGCACACATGCTTCATCATTATGGGCCTCTAATAAACCGTCGACATAACAGTAGGTGATTGGGGATTTTCAATTACCTTGAATTTAAGCCAAACGTCATAAGCATTCGCTTCGAGTCAAAACTAAGCCACGGTATTAAAAAAAAAAAAAACGCGTGCTCTTCAGCGCTTTTAGAAACTACAAGCTACCGTCACTTTTGCGCTTCTTTTTTGCAAGTCAGAAGGCTTTATATTCAAAAATGCGTTTTACGCAAAGTAAAGCCACTCAAATATTACTTTAGGAAGACAAATCTCGAGGAATGTCCATACACCTCCACACAGCAAGACCCCCCCCCCCCCCCCCATCCAGCCACTGCTCACATTACGCCGGTGACACGCATATTTATATGCATCGTTTACCAGTAATCCATTTGTTTCGATCGTCGGCCTGTCAGCGACGAGGCGATTCTGTTATGGCAATCTGATCCTTTATCGAGATCGCTTGTCATTTCACATTGTCACTTATTTACACAGTGCGTGCACATAAACGCCTGACCATGCACCGTTTTCACTTGTAGAAATTGAAGTATTGCGCTGATAAGCGTATGGATGAAGGTCCACTTTCAGGCATAGAAGAAGAAAGAAGAGTTACGAGAGCGTTGCGTGAAGCGAAAGACAGACAGTCAGAAATGTGCTATATGACGCACGCACATGTCCCAGTTTCGCCTGCACGCCGCTTCCCGATAAAACAAAATCGCTTGAATTTTTAACGCGATAACGTTACAGAGCTCGTTTGGCAGAAATTCCAGCGTCGGTGTCATTGGTTGGGAACAAAAAGTCCTCATCTTATGCGTGACCGAAAAATCGAGAACGATGCAAATAAAAAAATGACGAAAAAATACTGGATCAGAGCGGGGATGGGCTGTCCAGCTGGTCTAGACCGCTGAAAGGGTCACCCTTTCTGAGTTGAAGCGGGTGCACTCACTGAGAAGGTTCGCCACTGTTACTCTGCACCCGCATACTTCAGATCACGGGCTTTCAGCTGTTCCAATAACAAATGAATAGGCATTTGAGAAGGCAACTTCAAGTGAAAGACGACGGCTGGTCTCCGTATCAGGAATAACCTTGAACTTGAATACTGGAATGCCACGCTGTAAAAAGCCCGCTTGGACTTGGTTTTCGCCATGAATGTAGGGAATGTACTTGCGCGACCAATAACGGTCTACGAAAACGACTATAAAGTATTTGAAACCACCATATAGATAGAGGCTCACATAGAGGCCTCTTCTGCAATTTAATGGTTGGTTCTAGCAGCCTCACTGGCCACTCACTGCTGAATGGGCGAGAAGGCGAGTCAATATTTTGTTGTTTTGACGTTATATGCGCAAGCTACAATTAGTCGTAATAATATATATATATATATATATGATATATATATATATATATATATATATATATATATATATATATATATATATATATATATATATATATATAGATAGATAGATAGATAGATAGATAGATAGATAGATAGATAGATAGATAGATAGATAGATAGATAGATAGGGGATTGACGTCCCTACTCTAATACTTTTTCTACTCGTGAGCAAGCCTCTGTGGTTTGTGATGAGGCCCAAGGCAATTTAGTCTTAATTAGAGCTCCGACGCGTCCCTTGAGACAGCCCCGAGTGTGTTCGGTTTACGTAACGCCAATAAGCGGAAATACAACGCCAATTTCGAACACCGCGCCGTGACCAGAGGAAGCCAGCGCTTGTTGGCGGTTTGGCGAGATGGCGCCACATCCGCTTTCCCAGCCACTCCGTATGCCTTTGGTTTAGCTCGCCGTAGCAAGCACGGACGACGTACCGCAGCGTGATGAGTGTGTGCGGGGCTCTGTCGCAGGGTGCTTGACGCCGATAGGCTCCAGTGTGCCCTGATAAAGTTGAAAGCGACGCGGGAAGAACGTCCCGTGCTTTAGCCGAGGATGACCTGATGCTGCGGCGGCGCGCGCACCATCCCCGACCGCAGCAGCATGCCAGCCAGCAGCGATCCATGGAGCCGCGACTAGATGGCACCGACTACGTTGTCCAGACGGCCGCACGCCAGGGTCAAGTCTCAGGTGAGACCCCGTGCCGCCGCGAAAACGCCGAAGCACGAGATGCGCGTACGTGAGTTCCGCGGGCGGTGAGCCGTCTTGGAACACCACGCGCGTGCTGCCAGCGAAAGGAAAACATCCACCACTGAGCGGTTTATGTGGTGCTAGCCGAGCTTCGCTCGTGTGTTCCGTGTGTGTCGATCGTGCTCCACACTTGAGCCGGCGGCTTTTTCGGCGGCGCGCCCTCCTTGGAGGAGGCAGCAGATGTCGGGCGACGTTCCAGGCCAGCCTCGCCCTCGTAAATGAAAGCTTTCGAAGAAAAACCGCGCCCGACGTCACTGCGTGCATGTCGGCGATCGCTGCTTGCAACAGGCGTCCGCTGTGCCGTCCTTCACGGCAGCCGAGGGGGGCACATTGAATGGGTTGTCGGCGTTACGCATGACAGGCGCGACTGTGGAGGCTGTTGGTTGCCCGTACGACGCAGCTGTTCTTTCCTGCCCCGGACGGCGTACTACGCCGCGCTAGGGGTGTTTCACGTCTTGGAGAAAGCTCGAACACGGAACACCTCGTGGCTTCCGTCCGCATGGTTGGGGTGGTGACTCGCCGTTCCCCGCGAGGCGCGCCGAAAAGTGAAAAGAAACGAGAAAAAGCAAACCGGTTCACTAGAGCGCCCAATCTGAGTGCTTGATCACTTCCTCACTTCTTTGCGACGGCGCTGGGGCGGTTTCGGCAGCGACTCGCCTGACAACGGATGTGGAAAGACGAGGTGCAACGGAACTGGGCCGGAGAAATCAGCTGCTGCAGTGATCGTAGGCATTTATAGATTGAAGAACATTCTTGTGTGACGTCTTCGGAAAAAACCCTGGGCTGATTTTTTTTAGCGACATCATTTCGTACCTTCCTCTCTTATCACGCTTGGCTGTGTAACAGAGCGATGGTCCACCTTATTCTCGTTTCAACATCGCTGGCGTCCTATTTCAACTGCTCGTTATATATTTTCTCTCGTTTTTCACTCATTATTTCGAGGCTCTTAATCGCAGCATTAATGTTATACGCACTGCCCCAGAGTTTAGTTGGCAGCACGTGTTATTTCTTGCCATTGGAGCTAGTTTCTTATTACTCATTTGATTCCACCAGCCAATTCTTCGCATTCTCTTTACACCGACGACACATTCTCGTGTTATAACTAAAATCAGTTCGTGGCTGCCCAGTTTTCGCGCAAAACACTCGAGATTTCTGTAGTGCGAGCAACGGCAGCTAAGTGCAGTGGAGGTTACACGTACACATCGCGGCGGTTCATCTTCGCAGTGCCATGTCGGGAAAAGGCCCCGCGAGAACAGGCGCAGATCAGGCCTGTCTATTCTGCGACGAGACTTTTGGCGTTCTCTTGTTTTGTGTGTGTTACCAGAGGACGGGTATGCGCCACACAACTGAGATAATGAACGAGAGGCGCGTTACAAACACAAGATGCCGTCGGTAAACGGGAAGCCAAAACCACATGTCAAGCAAGCAATGATTGCTGACCGCTAACAGCTGCGTTGCAGCGAGTACTCCGTGGCCGGGCGAGTAACGAAAGACAAGCCTCAAATGGCTCCTCGAGTGAGTACCGTTGCGAATTCGTACAAACAAAACTGCCTTGCGCTTTCGCTGCACGCTTGCAACGACCCCGGTACTTTGCCTGAACACATGCACCCGTTGTAGCACGTGGCTTTCTTCGCTCAGCGCCGTGCCCTCTCCCCTAAAACATATCGAGTTCAAAGGCGACTCAGAAGTGTGGCAGCTTGGGCTAGTTGGTATGACATGACGACAGTTATAGCGCGAGAACGGAACGACGTGTCCTTCCTTTGACGTGTCTTCGCGTCCTTCTTGTCTCTGTGTCGTCGTTCTGTTCTCGCGCTATAACTACCTTCAAAGGCGAGCCAGTGTAGTTTCTTACTCGCCTTTACTGGTCTTCTAACAAGTGCACGGTGTAACACCGTGAACAAGTGCTATCCACGTCTCGCCACTTATTCCTTCATAAAACACGTGCAACGCCAGCGCCAAGCTTCGAGCCGGTCAGGATTCAGCGCTTTTCCTTTACGCGCTGCTATCTATACGGGATGTGCGCGGTTGCAAACGCAGAGAACGAAGGGAAATCCGTTTATCGTGCGCGATAATCAGGCGAGACAAGACAGAACGGGCACGCGACTGCAATGCAACGCAGGGTAGGAGACAACGCGCAGCATATATCGCTTGTATGTCGACCAATGGACAGCTGTTTTCATCCTGACGTCACGTCAAAAAAAAAAAAAAAAAAGCTGCGCGCGTCACGAATTGTGTTGCATTGACGCTCCCCGTCTTCGTATCTTCGGAGGTTGTTTTTAAACGAGGGTGTACACATTAGAGGTTTTTAGTTTGACGTTTTTACGCTCCGCTTAGCAGCTAAGCGTAGCGGGAACGCGAGTGCGCATGCGCCCTCCGCTAAGGCCTTAAGCGGGTTACCGGAGCGGGGAATACGGTCCGCTTACGAGCAGCCTAAGCGGAGCGTGGTGCGTCGCTGCCGTTTCTGCAAGCGGAAGGGCGACAACCCGCGCGCCCTCTCTCGTGCGTGCAGCAACTTTGCTCATTTCAAGATGGCTTCCTCCGGAGACGGCACGCTTTCCGCGAGTGCTGCAGCTTTGCCGTCACCTGCCCATTGCAAGCCGCGAAAACACAGTTTCAACGGTGAAAAATAATAACGCCGCCACCACACACGCGTAAAATACGCCTACAACACACAGTGAATGCTTGCAATGGATCTGGAACGGAACCTTGCTGGCTTTTGGGCGGCTACTATTAAGTCAGAGCTTGCTTCTTTGTCAAAAAAAAATAGGCGGTTAATACATTGAAAGGGGATATCTAAATACTTCGGGAAAAGATCATTTATACGTTATTGTTTTGCTTTGTATACGTGAAAATGTTTTTTTATTTTGTTTACCGACGATGAAAACGACCAGAGGGCGCTGCAACTGCGATAGGTCCGCTTCGCTGCCGGCAACGAATAACTAAAAGAGGAAAATCGGCCGCCGCTCCGCTGCGGTTTCGCGGGTGCTCCCGGAGCGGAGCGGACCACAAAAACGTCAAACTAAAAACCTCTATTAACGTATTTGCGTTTTACCCTTCCGTTACATCACATTTGCTGTTACTGTAGATGAGAAATTTATCCAAATTTCGCCAGTGTCCGTACACGACACTGACGTTGTGGCATATATTCGAGTGACGAAGGCTGACGCTTTCAAAGATCAACAACTCATAAATACCAAGGGAAGGGGAGCTCCTTGTAAGGTAGGTAAATAGGACGCGTTATTCGAAGGTTCTGGGTTCAGATCCCACGGAGGGAAGTGGTGATTTTTTGTCCACTAATTCATCTTTCGTCCTAATTAACACACATCAGTTAAAAACCTTGATTACTGTCCCTTCTGGTTTATTTTTACCTAATTGTTTGTTCTATTTATTTGGTTCTGGTTAACAAGCCTTGAAAGAAAATTCTCTTCCGGACTTTAAAGTAAGTCTATTCATTCATTCATTTCGTTCATTCGCAGAGAAAGGTGTTACGACACCTTTCATTTTCGTGAATCTCCAGCCCGTCCTGACGCTGGACATAGCGTTAGCGAAGCACGTTGGCCTGTATATAAGAATGAGCATTTACGGCGAAAGAAAAAGACCTGGCTGTATCGCTTCTTATCGCAGCGCTACAATGACAACACTTCGCTGAGGTGGTTAAGTGTACTTAGGACCACTGGACGTTGCCGGCGACGACACATGGCATTGCCTGATAGCCCGGGCAGTCTTACAGTGCGAATGGTGTCGAGGAAACACGGTTACAAAGGAAAATAATAACAACCACCGCAGCCGCAATGCCGACGATGATGCTAATAAAAGAGCACTAACAACAACGACAAAAGGTTCATGCCAAAGGTACCGCAATGGCAAGTGGGGAAGTACAGAGGAGCACAAAGCTTAACGCTACAGTGCATACACCATATCGATTCAGTATCCGTGAAATTCCATTGTGATCCGTAACACCTTTTTCTGTCAATGAAATAAAGGAATTTTTTTTCAAGGGGGCTCTGTTTGTTAATGAGGACCACTTGATTGATATGGGGGGCTTGACGTCACAAAACCACCGTATGATTATGAGAGACCCCGTAGTGGAGAGCTTTAGAAATTCCGACCACTAGGTTTTCTTTATCGTGCACCCAAATCTGAGCACACGGGCCTATAAAGCATTTCCGCCTCCATCGAAAATGCAGCCGCCGAAGCCGGGATTCAATCCCGCGACCTGTGGGTCTGCAGCAGACTACCTTAGCTTCTAGAGCACCGTGATGGGGCTTAAAAAGAACCAAACAAATGTAACAGACAATTAGGTCAAAGAAAGCAGAGGGGATAGTAACCATCGTTTATAACTTCTTAAGGCGAAAGATGAATTAGTGCACGGGAAATCGTCCCTTTTCATTAAGGGGGTCCGAACCCAGACGCGCACGCAAATAAGGTGCACACCTATAGTAAATGTTCAAGACCTCGTAGAATTGCATGTTCGATGCATAATTCGGCAAATATTGTTGTGTTTTTTGACAGCATGATTAGACATCATGTAACGGTCATTCCACCGGTAAGTAGAATAAACTATGTATAGTTTCATGGGATTGAAATAATAAATAATACCAATGTAGTTTTCCCCTAAAACTTGGATATATACGTTACGTTGTAAGTAAATATGTGCTGAAACGCCCAGTGAGCTCTCTAGATCTGTATGCGTCTGCAAGAATTTACTTCAAGGGCACTTACGAGCCTCTGAAAAACAAGAAACGAGGACATTATTGTTTTCTGGTGTTTCTCCTCGCCTTTCTGGCGCACTTCGCGACGCATGAATACCGATTCCCGTGAGGTCTGTAATGTATATACTCTCTATTCGTCTGTACACACGAAATATCAGACGTGACTTCTATTCATTGTTTCAACTCTTAAAGGCGAAGTTTCCCACTTCATGATGCTTCCATTTCAGG